GCTGCTGCCTTCATAGACTGCCAGCTTCAGACAGAGGCAGATGAATGCAGAGATCACTTTAGGGTAAGCAAAATACTAGAGATCTGACTTTGAAGACTGCTGGCTTCACAGGTCAACAAGTCTCATGTTGGCAAATATGGCTGGCCACTTTTTCAAATCTGGAGGTCATGAGTCAGATAGCCCGATGTTAAGCTCTTTATCTTTGCCTGAATTCAAGCATATATTATTCCATGCAACCCTGAGGAGATTTCCCCTTAATCAGGTAAGACCAAATATATCTTTACACACGATCTGGCCTCATTTGCATTATTGTTAAAATGACAACACACTGGATGTTGTTATGAGCAACAGAATTAACTATGGCTCAGTGACTCTATGAACAACAGATTAAAGCATTGTCAAAATAATAGTACTTGAATCTGTGTCATTCCTACCCATTGTTGCAGTCACTGTGTCAATCCATTTCCTTGAAGATCTTCCTCTCCTTCACTGGCCCTCTACTTTTCTAAGCATAATGCTTTTTTTCCAAGGCCTGGAACCTCCTGATAACACTCCCAGGTTGTAGGAGACAAAATTTCATCATCTTTGTCTCTAAGAAGCACCTAAGCTACAGTCAATACTCTTAAAAAAACCCCACAATTCAAAGAAATCGGTTCTTTCCGTCTTCCTACGCATTGTACAAGAAGCAATTGATAATACCATGATTTTGGTCAGATACGCCAAATCCTCAAAGTGATATCTTTGTCCTTTAACAATTTTTAAAAGTCTTTGGCCACAGATATCCCAGTGTAATGCATCTTTTGATTCTTTGGTAACTTCAGACTTTTCTGTTTATGATGGTTTTAATTGGCTCAGTTATGGGAATATTTTATTTTTGTTAAAATGGCATCCATTCTGAAATCTATAGTCATTGACCTTCATAAGTAAGTTCTTCAGCAAATACGGTTCTCATCTACATATTTCAGGTTGTTAAAGAGGATTCATCAAATCCTATTGTTCAGCTTCTTAAAGAATTTGCTTAGTATTACAGATTGAATAAGTATGACAAAATAAAACAATTTTGACACTTCATCTCCTGATTTAAAACTTGTTGTTGTTACGTAACATTGAGTCTCTTGGGACTCATAGCAACCCTGTGTACAATAGCTCTATCTTGAGCCAGTTTCATTGTCTCTGACACACCTAACACCATTACCCCATTACTGAGTCAGTTCATCCTATCCAAAGTCTTCTTATCTTCAGCTGTCCCTCCACCCTTCCAAGCATGATATTCTTCCCCAAGGACCAATCCCTCCTGGCAACGGGTGTCCTTCTCCAAGGACTGGTCTCCCATGGCAACATGGTCAAAGTATGTAAGATGGAGCTTAAAAATCCTTGCTTCCAAAAAAACAACCTGCTTTCACCCTCTCCAGGACAGACCTGAAATTACATATTGTCTTCTTATTCTGTTTAAAGGATTGCTATGTATATATTGTGATACCTAGACTATAGTCTATGTACAGGTTCTTAATGAGCACAATGAAATGCTCTGAAATTCTAACTCATCCTCAAGTTATTTGTAATTTGCTATGATCCACACAGTCCAATGCCTTTGCATAGTCAATAAAATGAAAATAAAAATCTCCCTGCATCCTTTGTGTTCAGTTAAGACCCATCTAATGTCAGCATTGATATCCCTTATTCCACATCCTTTTCTGAATCCGACTTGAAAAACTCACACTTCTCTGTTGATGTATTGCTGCGACCAAACAATATTTTACTTGATTAATGATTTTATTAGATGATTTCCTCATTCTCTTGGATCTTCCTTTTGAATGAACACAAGTCTGAGTTTTCAGGGTTAATTTTCTTTATAGTTTCAGACAATTTTTCTCTTCTGGTTTACATAGTGAATCTTATGTTAGAGTTATAAGTAAAAAATTCTAAGGAAAATATTAATAATTATAATTTAAATATCAGGAACAGAATTGTTATTGCTAACAGCTGTCAGATTGGCTTCCAGTTCATGGTGAACCATGCACAGTGAAGCTAAACAATGCTTGTTGTTGGGTGCCATTGAATCAAGTATGACTCTGACCAACTCTATGAACAACAGATCTGAACCCTGCCCTGTCCTGTGCCATACTCACAATCTCTGACACACTTGAACCTATTGCAGCTGTCACTGTGTCAATCCATTTGGTCAAGGGTTTTCCCCAAGGATCTGTTGTTGTTTGCCATTGAGTCGGAATTGACCCATAGCTGATTCTCAAGCAGGTTGTCAGAAGCAATTAATCAAAGGAGAGAAGATTGTACATTTGTCTTCAGCAGAGCAGCAGGTGGATTTGAACCATGTGCCTTTGGAATTGCAGTGCTGCCTCTTACTAGAAGGCCACCAGAGCTTTTCCTCCAAGAAGAACGCTGACATACCTGTTTTTTATTCTTTTGGCAATCCGTGGAATCTTCAGTACTCTTCCAACACCACAGTTCAAAGGCATCAGTTTTAATACACTGCCTAATCCTGTACTTTTCACATAATCAGTTGCAGATTGAATCATTTGTTCCATAAGGTTTCCATTGGCTGATATTCAGCTGTAGAACTTCAGGCTTTCTTTCTAGTTTCCCTTTGCCTATAAGATTTGTTGAAACCTACTCAGTATCAAGCAACACACTGACAGACAGAGGTGGCTGTGCTTGACGTGCTTTCACTGGAGATGAACCAAGACTACCAGTGAGTCAGAACCAACTGGTAGCTGACTCCTCTAGTGGGTCTTCAGGACCCACGAGGTCACAGGAGGAGATTGTCCATCTTTTTTCCAGGGAGAAGCTGGTAGATTTGAACATTGTGTTGCTATGGGTCATCAGAGCAACTGTCTTTCGCATGGAAGTAAAGGGGAAAACAAGACAGAACAAAACAAAAAGTTATCCACCATAATTTAGGTCAGGCTCACCTTATTCGTGCAGTGTCAATCTTGCTAGTTAGTGCTCTAAGGGGTCTTCTTTAGTAATTATTTCATTGCAGTATATTTTTTTTCTTTTTTTTAAAAAAGCAAAACACCTCTTGTTTGCTTTCTTAATTGCCTTTCCCATGAACTTTAATGGTAGATTCAAACAAAATAAAATCCTTAACAGCTTCAAAAAGGCTCAGTTAGTAGGTAGGTTTAATGCCTTCACCATTAAACTCTTTCCTTTGTTGATAAAAGGAATGATAAAAAGGTAGATCACTATTCCCTGAGGGCACCAGGATTAAACTGTGATCACCTGATTCTTCTAAATTAAGCTGTTTTCAAGTAAAACCCCTCAAACTTATTGCCATCAAGTCAGAACCAACTAATAGCTGATCCTGTAGTGGATTTTCAGAGGCTGTAAACCACGTGAGAGGAGATGGTCCAGCTTTCTCCCTTTAAGCAGCTGGTGCATTTGAACTATTTACCTTTGAGTTGGTAGTGCACTCTTTACCTGCTAGGCCACCAGAGCCACCTAATTCAAGCAAAAGTGCATATATTGAGAACTCACAGCTTCCTTCTGCTCTTCTATGCCTTTTTCCTCCCATGTGGAGGCAATGAGACTCTGCTTGGATCAGTTACTTGGTTCCTAACCACTGATGAGCATTTCTGCTGAGAAGCCATTGTCATAGACATCAGTAGTGAATGAACCCTATTACTTTTAGCCAAAGTTAAGGTCATTGTTTTTGGTCAATGCATATGACTTTACCAACTACATTGCATTTAAGAGACATTTATAATTATAATGTTGTTGTTGATTTCCTTCAATTCAGGGATGACTCATAGTGATGCTATGAACCAAAGGCCTGAAGCATTTCCATAACTATTGACATTTATTAAAGTTCATAAAGTTTCTGGAGGCATGTTGTTTAGGAAGTGGATGCCACTCCTGCTTCCAAATAGAATTATAATGTGGAGATGGTTAATAAAGTCAGTTGTTGTTGTTGTTGTTAGTGCCGTTGAGTCATAGACGACTCATAGCGACCCTAAGAACAAAGGACCCGAACACTTGTATAACTTTCATTGTTTCTCCAAGTTCAGAGTTTCCAGAGGCAAGCTATAGTCAGTGGAAGCTCAAATACTGTTTTAAAATGAGAAGAAAGGTAAAACTCTTCCCATAAGAAAAGACTAAAAAATACTGTTGTGTGACCTTGATCAAGTTAGTTAAAATTTCTCAACCTCCATTCAATGCTTATGATATGATAATAATACATACTTTCCCCAGTAATTGTGCATATTCATCAAAACCAAACCCACTGCCATTAAATCTATTCTGACTCATACTGACCCTCAGTTAGATTTCCAAGGCTGTAAGTCTTTACTGGAAGATATTTGCCCAGCTTTCCCCCACAGTAGCTACTGAATGAGAACTAGCAGCCACTACATTTCACACTATGGTACCACAGTTCCTTGTATCAGTAATATGTTGTTGTTGTTGTTAAGTGCCGTCGAGTCGCAGGCGACTCATAGTGACTCTATGAAGGAGAGTCCTTGACACTTGGGTGCCTTTCATCCTCTCTCCAAGTTCATAGGGTTTCCGGAGGCAAGCTATTATGGAAGTGGATGCCACTCCTCCTTCCACGCTTGTTTAAATCGGGGAGCTCCACCCCACTCTCAGTCCGCATTGGATAACCAACCATTAACGCATTTGACACATCCGAGTCACAGGGTTCAGCCTCACAGCAACCCCAAGCGACTGCGGGACGGCAACTATAGCCCTGGTATCAGTAATATAATGAACATTAAATCACCATAACTCTAGATGGGCTCTGTGTAAGTGAATGTTCTAATTATTAGTTCTACAATATTACAACACTTGCTAAAACTGCTTTACTACTGCTACTACTACAAATTGTAAAATTTGCAATTGGCCAATCTCTGTTCAGTTAGACAACAGGAAGGAGGGCCTTTCAATTGATTTGTAGGAAGCTATAAACTTTCATTCACACTGAGAAGTAATTAAGAGCATAGGTTCTATGGTTTAATGCATGAAGACTATTTCCTGAGATATCTTGGATGAATTATTTAATATTGCATGCCTCAGTGATTTCATCTATAAAATGGGGTAAGGATACTTCCTAACACCGAACTCTTGTAAGAATTGAATGAGCTAATCTAAGCAGGGAGCTTTGGTGACCTCCTGGTAAATTTTGCTGCCAATCCAATGGCACGCAGTTAAAATCTAGCATCTGATTTACTGGAGAAAGTTGGGCAATCTTTTCTCATGTGAGTACAATTTACAGCCTTTGAAAATGCAATAGATTATTGGCTATGGTTTGGTTCTGACTCAATGGCACATAAGAACAATATAAGCAGTGCTTAGAACAATATCTGACATTTAATATGTAGTCAGTAAATGTCTTCTGTTTAGCTATTAACGTATTGCTGTAAGTTGAACCCCCGTAATTACCTTGTAAAATTATAAGCATCATTTTATTTATTTCATTGATATGAAAACTGAGGTTCATTATTTGTCAGATTAATAAATTAGGGTAATATAAAAAGATGCTTTATTTTCTTTTCTCCCTTCCTTCTATATATAATAGTTGAGCTAAAGTAAAAGATAATAACTCTTCCTGGTCAATAGACATTTAAAATATCTCATTAAGTTTTCTTTCTCCTTCACCCCGCATCACTGCTTGTTTGAGAGCAGTTATAAGAAAATATTCACACATCTTACTTCTACTTAAATAAAATTCTAGTGTGATTTTGATTTTTCCATTGACCTACTACAACTGGCCTTCATGTCCAAAGTCCTAAGTTCTCTAATTCAATTTTCATAAATGAGAAATTAATAGGGTCAATGAAATAAGAACTTGTATTTATATAAGTATTTATTGGGCTTTTCTTTATCATCTTTCAGGTCTTGTAGAAATTTGCCTGATGCACCCTCTGGATGTGGTGAAAACCAGGTAAGGTTTTGCATGAACAAGTTTTATTGACTTTGGCTGATATCCAAATTAAGATTTGTCAGAACTCTAAATGCCAGAACTTGCCTCAGACTGGTAGCTTCTCCTTATAATGACATTTATATTTACTTCTTAAAGAAAATACTATTTGACAGATACAATGTGAACGGTAAAGAGTATTTCTGGATGGAGGTCATCTGAAGGTATTTAATATTTCAGTGCTTTCACATGACAACTCTGGGGTATGATTTGTAGCTATGCTAGTAAATGAGCTAAATTTATCAAAATGATGTAAGAACTAAGCTTTATGCAGTGAATTATGACAGTGGACTTTCATTTGGCATTGTATATAACAGATTGCTTTTTAATGTTCAGCATTTTGGTGTGAGACTCCAAAATTGCAACTAAGCTTCTTAAATGGTGCTTAAAGAATTTATTCCTATAACAGTTTGGCAATGCAAAGTGCCATGTTTCCAAACACATGCATTTGCTTTTAAAATACAAATCAGTGCAAAGAAATGTGGGGGTTTTAATATGATCTTGAGCAATTTAAAAAGTCATATCTATGACTGTATTCTTTTTTGCAAAATAGTAACTCTTATAGTGAAAGAACATTTCTATTTATTTGAGTTGTATGAAGCCCAAGAGTGCCATGCCTAGGTTTGAACTTATAGTAAATGGTGCCATGCAAAAACGGAGCCTGACTCCCAAAATTAAAACATTTTTGATGAGTCAGCTTGGTCATTGGGCGGGCCATGTTTCTTAATCTACCAAAGTTCGAAGGATCTTAGACTGGTTGCTGAAAGCAAAAGAAAGTGACTGTGACCTACAAATTATATTGCATAAAGCAGAAAAGGTGCCATGACAGTGGGATTGTTATGTAAAGTTCAAAAAAGAATACTTGGCTAGTAAAGATTAGCTGCTCAAACCTATTCAGCTTCTCTGCTGGAGAAATACCTGACAATTTGCTTCCCTGAATGTTATAACCAAGAAAACCTTACAGGGAAATTTTGCTCTGTGACATGGAGTCACTGTGAGTCAGAATTGACCCAAGGACACCCAACAAAAAAAAATATATAAGTAGAGAAACTAGTCATTTTTCTCCACGTTATACAACACAAAGAAGGAAAGAAAAATCCTACAAACTATACTCCAATTCAACTTATTACAGGATTCAGAGACAACATCACTAACTGGCATTGTGTGTATATGTGTTTGTGTGCATCTGTTTATTGAGTGATTTTACAAAGCAAATTAGTTTTCCATTAAACAATTCATACACATTTTGTTTTATCGCATGTATTACAGTGCTCATGATGTAACCGTATTCTTCCTGATTCCTTCTTGTGATTCTCCTTTCCACCTATCCTGTCTTCACTTTCTGCCTTGTGAGCTTTATGCCTGGACAATTGCTGACATTCGTTTTTTAGATGTTATACTAACCAAAATATTTTAGCAAGTCTCAATGAGAAATAAATTTGTATTCTTTTAATTCAGAATCATTTCTTAAATTGAGTCAAAGTGACAGTATAGAAGAAATTTTAAAAAATGGTTTTAAAAAGACATTATTTTGAAATTGTGCTTACCCTCTCATGCCCTCAAGTCTTCATTTATCTATTTAATAACTATTTATTAACTAACTAGTGTATTAAGAATTCAAGTAATATAGGGCTAATGCTGTAACCTGTTGAACAAAGAGTTGATGGTTCAAACCCACCCGCCTCAGCCTAGAAGAAAGGCGAGACAGTCTACTTCCATAAAGATTTGCAATATTGTAAACCCTGTTGAGCAATTGTATGTTATTCTGTAAAAACCTTATGAATTAAAGTTTACTCAGTGGTGATGGTTTGGTTTTCTTGTCTAGTGTATATTACTCTAGACTAGCTATGCCCTTAAAGACCTCAAATTCTGAATAAATAGAATTCCAATCACAATGAATGTCAAAGATGGTATCATTTTGCATGGAATTGAACTAGATAACTCTTGGAATGTATGTACAAGATGCTGGAGATTTATAGCATTAGTGTTATATAGTGTAATATTATTCATTTATTAAATGGATTTAGTCACATTCTGTTATTTAACATCAGGAGGACTCAAGGGAATGCAATTATTCAAGGTACCATACATATTGGATGGTATTTGATCTACATAAATACGAAGAATATAAAGACATACAATTGTAAACTGAAAGTTCAGAATGGGTATGACTGTCTTTGCATAAGAATAGAATATACAAGATTGGTAGACTTTATCAGCTGGACACTAATACAGAGAGGGTTGGAGTGAACTGAAGCAGACTGAGTTGTTGGAATCCTATCACCATTGCATTTTAATAAGACCAGATATACTGTCCGGAATGGTGTTGGTCTTTTGGACTTATGCCATTACTTAACAAAGCTTCTTGGCACTTGAGAAGGCCAAAACAGTGGTATTCTCCAGGTTATGCCAGGCCAACAGATGCTAAAGGAAATGAGGGCTTTCCTGCACAACCTAAAGTGGAAAGGCTTCATGCACACCAATGTTTACTGCATCTTTGTTCTCAATAGCAAGGAGTTGGAAACAACCTAAGTGCCCATCAACAAATGAATGGATAGAGAAGCTGTGGTATATTCACACAATGGAATAGTATGCTGCATTGAAAAACAAGTAACTTGTGCAATATTATTCAAAATGGGTGACCTTGGAGGACATTATGCTGAGTGAAATATCTCAGTCACGAAAGAACAAATACTGCATAGTGCCACTGTTGTAGAATGAGACTGACATCAGGGTTGGGGGTAAGACTGAGAAAAACTGAATAAATTAGGTATACTGCATTGAAACAGATGAGGGAGAGAATGGTTTAAAAGCAATGTATGATAGGGTATTATGGTTATCACAAGAGTCCAGAATTAAGGTTGCATAATGGAGTGTACTTGGGGCGGTGGCGTGGGTGCAGGGGGATTGTATCCAATGAAAGAATTTTTCTTTTACTTTTCAAAGAGAGGAGTGAACTGGGGGGGAGGGGCGGGCAGGAAGAAAAGTGCAAAAATGAATGGATGGAAATCCAAAATATCTGTAAATGTTCATTAAAATTAAAATAAAATTTAACAAAAAAAGTGGAAAGGCTTCTTCTAGAGCTGGCATTCTGATTTTAGACTTCTAGCCTTCTAAGTTGTAGAGAATAAATTTCTGTTTGTTAAAGCTACTCATTTGTAATATCTTGATTATAGCAGTGATAGATAACTAAGATGATATTATGTTGTTGTTGTGATATGTAGTTAAGTCGCCTGCTTCTCATAGTGACCCTATGTACAACAGGCTTAAACCCTGCTCTATTTTATGCCAATCTTATTGTCTCTAACACACCTGCTCCCATTACCCCAGTCACTGAATCAATCTGTCTCATTGAAGGTCTTCTCTTACGCTGTCCCTCCACGCTCCCAAGCATGACATCCCTCTCCAGGGACCAATCCTGCCCTGCAACATGTCCAAAGTGTGTCAGACGAAGATCAGAATCCTTGCCTCCACCCTCTTTTTTGGTCTCACCCTCTTTAGGATGAACCTGTTTATTCTCCTACAAGTCTACAGTATATTCATCACTCCTCTCCAGCACCACAGCTTAAAGGCATCAATTCTCCTTCTGTCATCCCGTCACAGTCCAGCTTTCTGAGGCATAGCAAGATCATGGTCTGGATCAGGCGCGTGTTAGTCTCCAGACAGACACCATTGCTCTTCAGTACTTTGGAGAGGTCTCTGATAGCAGACTTTCCCAATGCAATTCCTGCTTGTGCCAGGAGTGTTGATTGTAGAGCCAAGCAAACTGAAGCTTTTACAGTCTCTTCACCACCTATCATGATGCCAGTCGGCCCAGTGGTTTCCTTGATGTTGAGCTTCAATCCATATTGAAGGTTGCAGTTCTTGACCTTTTGCAACAAGGGCTTCAGATCCTCCTCAGTTTCAGGAAGCAGGGTTGGTTCATCTGCATAATGCGGATTGTTGATGAGTATTTATTTCTCTAATCCTGATACCACATTCTTTCTCATAGAGCCCAGCCTCCTGGATGATCTATTTTGCATATAGATTGAAAAGGAATGGAAATATGACACATCCCTGGCGGACACCCTTCCCAAGTTTGAACCATATTTCCTTGCTCTGTTCTGATGACTGCCTCCTGGTCCAAGTATAGGTTTCATGTAAGCACAAATTAAGTGTTCTGGGATTCCCATTCTTCTCAGAGTAAGCCACAGTTTGTTGTGATTCACACAGTCAAATGCCTTTGCATAGCCAATGAAACACAGATAGACATTCTTCTGGTACTTCCTGCTTTCAGGCAAGATCCATCTAACATTAGCTACAATATCTCTAGTACCACAGCCTCTTCTAAACCAAGCCTGCATTTCTGGCAGTTCTCTGCTGACATGTGCTGTTCCTGTCATTTTTGGATAATCTTCAGCAGACTCTTGCTTGCATGTGATAGCAATGATACTGTTCAATAAATTCCACACTCTGTCAGTCACCTTTCTTTGGAAAGAGAATAAATGTAGATCTCTTCCAGTCAGTTGGCCAGGTGGTTTTCCTCTAGATTACTTGGAACAACTTGGTAAGCACATCAAGGGCAGAGTGTGGAGTGTGTTTGTTGAAATATGTCAACTGATATACCCCTCGGTATATGAACCTCTGGGTATATAAACCCCTGGGGCCTTATTTTTTTGCCAGTTCTTTCAGAGCAGCTTAAACTTCTTTCTTCATCCATTATTTCATTAACTACTTCTGCGCTGACCAATTACTTTTGATACAATGACTCTGTATACTCTTTTTATCTTCTTTTAATACTTCCTGGATCATTATATATTCTGCCAAAAGCATCCTTCAGTATTGAAACTCATGGCTAGGGTTTGTTCTTCAGTTCCTTCATGTTATATGCAAATAAAATTGTGCTGAAACTAATTTAAGAGCTGGAACACTGCATTGACTACCTAGAATTTAACTTGGCTTCCGCTGAGGCCATGGAAAAAAGG